GGGAGAGCGGGGCTGAGGGCGAGGGGGCCTGTGGGGGAGAGAGCCTGTGCTGAGTGCTCCTGGGGGCAGTCAGACGAGGGGAGCGGCGCCTGCAGTCCTGCTGCGGCTGGGGGAGAGGGAAGTTGCCCTGGAGGTTTGGGTCACCCTGGGGCAAGTCGTTTCATTTTTCTCCAGCGTGAGTTTTGTTAAGTGTGTGCATGCGTGTGAGTGTGATGTAGCCGTGCCAGGATCGGGCCCGTAGCACTCCGGATCTCATTCTCTGACCCGCAGTGCTCCCCCTAGGTCTGCACATTTGCTACTGCTCCCCTGCCGTTGTAATTTCAGACCCATGAGGAGCCCTGTGGCCCAGATGACATGATAGCCAGGGGGGGACCTGATCTGGGTGCAGGGCGGGGACTGAGCAACCCTGAGTTAGTCTCATTCAGACCTTCAGAAAGGCAGCATCTTTTATTGGAGCACCTGCGTAGTTGGGAGAGCGTGAGACAAGTTTTCCCATGCTAGACCTTCTTCATCAGGTTTCCTTCCTTTAGGGTGTGGATTTTCCATTGTAAGCAGCAAATTTTGATTTCTTCCATGTTAGGGCAGCGTAAGAGTGATGATGTAGCCATGCTGGAGTAGGTGGAGACCTGACAAAGAACGTCTTGCGTTCATGTCTGATGTTGTCCCAACCACGTAGGTGGTCCAATAAAAGATATTGCCATAAGACATCCTTGCCTCTTGCATATTTTCTGGACCATTATGGCTGTCACTGTTTCGCTACTGATTTTCAGAAGCACAACAGGATCTGCTGACTGGCCGTGGGGTTGAAGAGTTGCTGTAGCTGTGGAGATCCAGGGAGTGCACACCAACTGAGGGTTCTTGCCTGGTATCTTGTATTGCATCAGCTGTCCAGCTGGGAGAAAAGTTAGACCAACTTTCAAGGTACAGACTGCTCTTCCTCACGTGTCAGTGAGGAAGGGAAGTTTGTGCCTGAAAAGCTGGTATCATTCTCCCAACTATGTACAGCTGTGCTATAAAAAATGTTGGGATTCCAATTCACTTGTTCGTTTTGATATCAGGTATCCATGGCTCCATGGGCTGTATGTTTGACGCCCCTGAACTAGAGAAAGACAAGTCAGTATGGGAGGGAGGAAAGAAAACATTGATTTTTTCCCTCCTGCTCCCCAATTGTTGAGTGCCCAGAAATCCTACGGCAGCTCCCATTTGCTTCAAGTGATCGGCACCTCTGAAAATCAGGGCAGCTTTTAATAAGCAAAAAACCCTATTATTAGTTTTTCCAGCAGCTTCTTGCAGAAGCTCAGGTCACCAAGGAGACAGACTCTGGATAGCCCTTCAGATACTTGGGGGAGTTTCCAGCCTTCACCCCACTAATCTCTAGGGTATCTTTAGATTGGAGAGGATTAGCTGAAGACTCCAACCTTGGATTAAGATATTTAGGATATTGCATTAGGGACTATTAAATGAAAAGCTCATCCCTAGACTACTGTCTTGCATCATCCTGGAGGTAAAAGCAATTTCATTGTTAATGCAACTATTAAAAAGGAGATTGGAGAGGCCTCATTGTGGCGGGGGTTATTGGTATGTTTCAAGATGGAGATTTGATGCAAAGTAAAATGATCAGCAATTCCATGCTGCATTTCAAAGTCCTGCATTTATAGCTCAGATTTAAGGATATTCCTGCAGAAAAGATTGGTGCTGTGATTTAATACAGTTTAGTGATGTTCTCTGCCCAGAGCTGCTTTTTTTGATACCAGACCACTGCTCTGCTTCCAACCCTCTCCCCTCATTAACCTTCCAGTATTGTTCTCCTTTATTGTCCTTGCACCCCAAGCACTTCTGTTATTTGTGTACTCAGTTGACTTCCTGCCTACTGTCTCTAGCACTTCTGTGCCAGCAGGGGCAAACCAAAAAGTGTGATAGAATAGCAGTTCTTCTGTGGTAGTGGTGCATGGATGGGATTCTTTTTTCTTTCCGTTTACATTGTTAAATAAAATGATTCCAATGAATTTACTAAAATGTACTTGCTCATGCCTTTCTGATTACTGTTGACTTCATACATTTTTGTAATATTTTATACTTCTCCTGACTTGATTGTGGTTTTCTGGAAACGGTTCTGCAATATTTTTAAGAGAAAAACAAGGATTTTAAACTTTTGAAGTTAATCTAGTACTCATGAAAGAAACCAATTTCATGTACCTGCTGACAGTAAATTTTAGGAACCCAGGCCTTATACCTTTGTTCAGCGGGGGCACAACCCTCAGGCCAACCACAACACCTGCCAGTTGATGATAGGCGAATTTATTGATACGGAGTGATAACAGAAAAGCAATACAAACAATTGAGCAATTCTATATCTACCAATCGTAGGGCTGTTATCAGAGTCAAAGTGCACCTGGCCAGGATGCAGGCTCCATTCTGAGGCTCTCTCTCTTAGGTGTCAGCAGTCTGGAGGTGGGATGCCGAGGCCCACAGCCCCCCTCCAGTGGGGCGCATGAGATGGGCTACTGGTATGCCTTTGGTCCATGGTGGCCTCGGGGACCTTTCCCAGGTGACAGGGATAGGGACCCTTCTCGGGGAGGGACGGGACAAAGGGAAGGGACCTTTTGTTAATCTCAAGTCTCTGCTTTTGTATTCTCCTTCCCCCTTGATGACTCCTGATGACTCTTCATCCATGGCTATCTCTGATTGGTTGTTTCTCGATGATCACACATCCACGTAGCCTTCTGGACCTTCTCTTAATTTAGTCTGTTCCCCCAAAACCGGGACTTAGACCCCCTTGCTTTCAGGGACCTTGTTGCTGGTGTCACTTATCTTGTGTTATGGAACAGGATGGTACATACTTCTTTGGTTCCCAGACTGTGTGTCCTTGTTGTGTAAGACAACCTGTCTGCCTTGAAGGCTGTGATCTCGTGTTATGGCATGCCCCCCTTAATTGTCAGGTTGTGTCCATCCATTGGCCTTGTTGTGTTAGATAGCCTGTCTGTTTTCAGGGCCATGAGAAGCTGTGTGCGCGTCTCCCAGTCTCTTTAGAAATCCAGTTAACCCCTGCTGCCCATCTTGACCCCTTTATAATGCATATATCTATACCTATAAGCCAATTCCCCAAAAAACAGATGTTTAAATAGTGTTTTTAAGACAGCGGTTCCTAGAACTGTAAGTCCTTCCTCGTTCAAACAGGTACACCATGCACAGCCAATGGGGCTTAAAGGCATTGTGAGACGTAGAATCCCAGGTCTTACCCACTGACAGCATAAGATGTATTTCTAAAATACCCTTGGAGAATATCCCATAGTGGGGGCTTGTACTATGCTCTTTATGTATGCCTCCCCAGAGGAACTGCCTGGAACAACAGAGGCAAGCATACTGAATTCTGTTCAGCATATCTCCTCTTGTTCATTTTGGGGAAACAGCTATAAATGAGAGTGGCAAAGCAGCTGCCTGTTACTGAAGACCAGAGAAGGACTGACAAATAAGGGGGGGGGGGTTCTTTTATTCTATCCCTGCCTCCCTCATTTGTATCTTGTGAAGCTGCTTCCCCATTGAGTACAGTATGTAAAATAAAACTATGAAGAATTGTAGCTTGTGTTTGGTGAACAGTAGTAGCAGCATTGGTGCCATTCTGTGAAGAAAAGCAGTTTTAAAATGAGAAGAAAAAAGAAAGGAAAGGAGATGGTCAAGGAACAAAAAAATATAAAGGGAGAGTATCTTACTGTTAGACTTCATCTGACTGGCTAGAGCAGAGCTTTCCAAACTGTGTGCCGCGACACATTAGTGTGTCGGCGGCAGTGTGTAGGTGTGTCGCGCGAAATGCAGAAAATTTTGCAGAAGGGCACCACGGAGCTCCCTTACTCGTGTCTGCTTCCCTTGGCCCCTCCCCCAGATCTGAATTACTGTGTCGCGAAATGATGCATGTCTAAAAAGTGTGTCACCAACATGAAAAGTTTGGAAAGCTCTGGGCTAGAGGGACAGTATAAGGGTTTTTTTGGAGGGAGTCTGCTTGTTTGGAGGGAAGCTTTTTTTTCTGGGAAAGAGAAACTGGAGTCCTCTCCCTATAAACAAAAAGAGGAGGTTCCCCAAACTAAAATGCAGGTAGAAAAATGGCAGAAAAGAAGGTAACACAAGATGAGATAAGAAAGGGAAAAATAAAATAGAATCACTTGATTTGACAACTTGAAGAACTAGAAGTTAATTGTCCTACTTGGTTGTTTTGCTAGACAAAGGAAACTGAAATAAGTCTCCGTATAAAATGTTGGCCTTTTCTCCTTTTTTGTCCGCTTCCTTCATGAGAAGGAATGAGAGGGCGGGAAGAGATAATTTAACTCATGTTCTGTTTGACCCGTCTGACCAGGAAGGGTCTGTTTTAGGACTGAGTCTCCATACTTATTTAATGCCTGTCTTCTCTATATCAGCCACAAAAAGCTACTAACTGGATATATCTACACTGTAGTCAGTGTACCATGACTTGTTTTAAAGTAATTGGTTGGCATGCCACTAGCGGTAGGTGTCATTACATTGTGAAGATCTGCATGGACTACTTACCCAAGTATTTACCTTCCTTAGTGGGTGGGAATTGCCGCTTGCTCTAAGCTTCCTGCCATCAAAGGTAGACTGCTAGCAGAACACCAGCTACCTAGTGCAAAACTAGCTTAGATCTCTGCTATATAGTTGACAGATCAGTGACTTCAGTGTAGACATACTTGGTATATAGTGTGACTTTGCACAAAGTAGGAATGCCAAACCTCAAGCATGTGTAGTCAGAAGTGGTATTTAACAGGTTTTGGCTGTAATGCCATCAGTCCTGGTTTTATGATGTTTGGAGTGGCAAGGTGTGTTATGAATGGCAGTGCAAGCTGGTGTATGATGCTGTTTGCACCCTGCATTGTAAATGTGACTCTGGGGGCAGAGGGTGGAATCATAGGCAAATGCATGGGATCCTGGACCATCTCTAAAGACTGTTTGTTTTTCTTTTCCTTCTTAGGGAAGTGCATATACACACGTGTGTCCGTTCTTTGCTGAAAGATGTCCAATCTTTCCAATTATGCCTTGCAAATGGCCCGCCTGAGTGCCCGGATATTTGGAGAAGTTGTGTCACCCACAAGCAACAAGTCCATGAAAGTAGTGAAGCTATTCAGTGAGCAGCCTGTTGGCAAAAAGAAAGAAGTCTTTGATTGGTATCCTCCTCACCACAGCTATTCTGGGCTAATGAGGCAAATTCGTTTTCTCGGTCTCTACAGGTGTGTGTAATGGGGAGAATGGACTGAGGAGTGGGGAGTATGGGTGTTATTTGGATTTGTTTAAGAAGCATTCAGAAGGGTTAGTGCAGAAGACAATCAGTACAGAAATATGTACTTCATTACTCTACTTCGGATGGAGAGGGGAAGAGTAAAATATGTCTAGTTGTTTGTAAAGATTTTTGTATTGAGGTGAACAGAAACATTTCTGGAACAACTTCCCAGGGCAGTGGGTTCGTGATTGACAAGCAATTCCATGTCAGTGTGTGACACATTGCTTATCCTAGCAGTTGAGAAAGGGAAGAGCTTGTCAATAGGAAAGATAATGATCTGGCCATCATGATTAGTGTGTGCCATGCTTGCAGAATACAATTTGGGGAGAAGTTATAGATCATCCTGCTTTTCCAAGGTGCTGTGAAGTAGAACAGCATGCCAGTGGGCTGAACAACTTTTACTGTGTTTGTTTTATTCAACACCTAAACTTTGACATTTAGGAGGAAGAGATCAAAAGAGGCCTAACTGCATTCTCTCCTCGCCTGAACATTTTGTTTATCTCAGGGGTGTCAAAGATATGGCCTGTGCAGCCTTATCAGGCCAGATGATTTTGACACCCATGGTTTGACTGATCTCCGCTTGGAGGTTCTGGGGTGGGTGGATTCACATATGCTGTTGAAAAACAAGTGCTTGGCAGGCCACAGAAATGTGCGGGCCGGGAGCAGTCCGAGGCCCTCGGGGGGCCTGTGCACGGCGGGCTGTGGCCAGCAGCCCGGACACGCCAGGTCGGGGAATGCAGGTCAGCGGGCTAGAATTAGGCACGGACGCTTAGCGGTTGATTAAAGATTATTTTACTTACACCAAAGATGGTCGCGGTGCAGGCAGGAAAACTTGCTTGCGTTGCGGTTACAGATAGAAAAGAAGAGAGGCGGACAAGAGTTCCTTCCACGCGAACCTCTAGCCCAATCCGGTTGAAGGCTCTAAACACGCGAGCCCATCGCGTCAACCGAAGAAAACAGCTTGAAGCAGAGAGCTCTGGATACACTCACACAAAGTTTGCCAGGCTCCGTGGAACTTGCGTGCAGGGAAGGGGTTCGTTGAGGGATCGTTCGGCGACAGGAAGAGGCCAGAGGTTGATCAGACCCCTATAGCCTGCGCTGGGTTCGATAGGCTCCACAGCGCTTGGAGATCTTCACAAGACGTGAAGTTCTCCTCCTCCAGATGGTTATGGAGTCCTCCCTTGCAGGGGTTCTCCTCGGAGTTCTCCAACTTGGGCGGAAACCACTCAAGCTTCTTATACGGCTAGCAAGCCAATCGCTAGCCGCCACATGGGAATAATTTAGAACTGGCCAATAGTGGGACACAAATTTGCATGCGAATGGCGGGAACTCCTTTGCACCGTGCATTTCTCTTTGCAACTAAGAAATGCACCCTGCAAAGAAAGCTCCTAGTGGCAGGGAATAATTTAGCAGTGCCGAAGCGCACACAAACAAAATCACACCCTTGGGTTGTGACAAGAAACAGGTGAAGAGATCAGGGCAGCCTAAGAGTAATTCTTGAGCTTTTTAAGAGGTGTCTAAGATTTTTGCACTGCTATTGTAAACAATTCCAAGGTGCTACTGTAAAATGTTCATACCCTCATCATTGCTACAGTTTATTTGGATGGGAGTAGAGTAGCACTTATCTACTGGGTCCCGTAGGAGGCACTGCCTGCCCTGTTCACCCCCTTCATCTTTGTCCTTTTTTTATTCTGTTCTATTAAGACCCTCTTTGTGAACATAATCGTTGTTTGCAGGTGACTTCAATGTGCAACTGCAAAGCAGGGGTGTCAAACTCAGATCTGCTGGGGAGACTCATTCCCAGCTTTTCAGATATATGTGGAGTGTACCTCAGCGCTCTCACTGGAAGTCCCTGGCTGCTGTGGCAGAGCTTCCTGTGGTGAAAGCTCCAGCCCCAGCAGCACTGCAGATGGAAGCCCCACCACAGTGGCCAGAGCCCTGACAGGGCTTCCTATAGCAGCAGCAAACACCTTGGTTAGAGCCAGGGTGCTGCCAGGCCTAGTGTCATCGTGGGCAGAAGCTCTGGCCATGGTAGCTCCAGTCCCCACAGCACCATGGGCAGAAGCTCCACCACTGCAGCCAGAGTCCCATGTTTGTGGTGGCAGGGTTTCCCATGGCAACAGCCAGTGCCTCCATGAGAGTTGGGGCACTGGCAGCTCCAGTGGTACTGTGGGGAAAAGCCCTACCACTGTACCTGTGCTGGCTGTAGCCATAGTGACAGGGCTTCTTGCAGCTTCAGCACCAGCAGAAGTTCCCCCACTGTAGCCAGGGATGGGGCAAAAGCGTGCAAGTTGGATGACATGGCTCCAAAGGCTGGATGCTTTGAAACCCCTGTTGTAAAGCAAAGTTACTGCAGCCAAGCATGTCACTTCTCAGGAGCTCATGCCCTGAACTTGATTCCCCAGCACAGCCATCCAGTGTGCTGTCACTAGATTGCTGAGCTAGCTTGGAAGGTGGGAATTCTGAGTCTTGTCTCTTGTTGATTTTGTATTTTACTTTGAATTTGGGCACAAGAGATCAATAAATGCAGTGTAAGAAATATGTATACTGTTTGTCACTGAAAAGGGCAACCTTATTCATTCCATAAATACCAGAAAAAAATCTCTTAAATTATTCTGTTTAAAACTTACATTGCTAACAATAACATTGCGTATACTATCATTGGATTTGGTATAGGTTTTGTTCACTAGAAAAGTTGTCTTCTCGTTATAGGCCAAAAATAAAAGAATCCTACACATCAAGCTACCTATGAGACATTACTTGGAATGGAGCTAAATTTAGTCTTTCTGTTCTTTTCATCTAGAGATGAACATGCAGACTTTCAAGAAGAGATGAAACGACTGAGAAGGCTCCGTGGGAAAGGAAAGCCCATGAAAGGAGAAGGAAAGAGGTCCATCAAAAAGAAATAGTGCCACCCTGGCAATGCACCAGAGGACTTGTGGATGTTAGAGATGGGAGACCCCCCCTCGGGCCCACCGTTCCATGTAGAGGGGTTTTACATGCAAGTTAAGATGGGAGCTTCCATGGAGTTGGGTGTGGGGGTATAGTTATCTGCTTGTCAGCTATTTAACTCGGAATTGAACTCTCTTAACTAGATCTATAGCCTCAGTTTTATTTGGGCTCATATTTTGCTAATAATTTCATGTATAGGAACTGTTGTGTATGTTCCAGCACATGAGGATAACGATGGGTTTCATTTTCCCTTTTCTACCTGAGCTAAATAATAAATAATAATAATTTTAAAATACTCTTAATTTTTTGATATACACATCTGCTTTCAGCTCCAGTTTCTTTGGCTCTTCAGTTTTTCCAGACACTAGATTTTTTTTTCCTTATTCATTCACTAATACATTTTATGTTCTTACATTGATATCAGTGTTTTTTGTACATATTTAGAAAGAAGAATGCTTTCAGCTCCTCTTCCTTGCCACGTTTCTGGAATATCGTATTTACGACAGACCACTTCAAGCAACCTGCCTTTTACCTTGGTGGTTGGATTTATTTAAATTTAAATCCAAATGGTTTGCATTCTGCACTGGGGGTGCTTCCTTGTCCACTGCTTGCCCACAGAACTTTCCTTGTATTGTCTGATTAAAATTATGTACAGATGATAGCATTCCCATACAATTACTACTAAATTGTTTTCGAGAATTGGTACCTGCTTAATGAAATGTTCTTTTAAATATTTTACTCTAAAAGGAGATCAGATAATGTTTGACGATTTGTGGAAGTGTATGGTATTACTTCAAAAGGAGATGTATTCTAATTTACCAGCTTTCAGCATACCTGCATAGCAAGGTTTCTGCAGTGTTACCAGTACAAGTAACTATATGTCATCTTACCCTTCATTTATTTGCTTTCTCTTTGTCCTTCCCCTTTGTGGCGATGGCAACCCTAGAAGCATACCTACACATGCTCCTTCTGCTGATGCTTCTCCCTGGTTCTCTGTACATTTAAGCATGCTGTTTCCTGGCCTTTTCCCTCTTTACCTCCCGGTGCCTTTTCCTGGAGTACTGTGGCAACCTTTTAGACCCAGCTTTTTTCCTGTATCTGTTTCCACAGTACTCCTCTGACTTGGATCCTTAGATTCCCTAAGAATCCCTGTGCACCTGTAGTGTCTATTACTGTACATATGTTTCTGCCTGATGTTTATTTTTATCCTTATTTTATGGTGCCTTTTATTAGCATAAGTAACTCAAATAGGTTCTTTTTTTTGTTATACAGAATATGGGTATAAGATTCAGAAGGTTTTCTGGGAATTGTGTTCCCTGACTCTTAAGCATTTAATCCTGGCCCTAATATTACTTGACTTATTCCTTCAAATTTTGACACTGTTATACAAATGAGTATCCAGTCCAACCTCAGGTCACAACTTGGCAAATGAAGCAAATGCAAGTTGTTTGAGTTGTTTCAGGATTTTTTCTTCTTTTTAGTTGCTATAAACAAGATTTTATTTTGATTTTGAGTGTTCCCCTGAGGCTTTTGCAGCCCTAGCATTTTAAAACATGCTAGAGAGCAAAATGAAGTGAAGCCATGGTCCCAATCCAACAAAGTATGTAAACATGTATTTAGACAAGGATACTCTTGTAATTGTTTTTGGTATGTGGGATGAATATATTTTATGTGTATGACTAAATTAAGGCTCACAAAGCTATGTAGATCAAACCTAAAGATCAAAACTCCTGAGTTTTAGGAAGGTTGAGCATTGACACCTCTTCCTGTAATGGATAAGAGCTGCAAATGCTCCAAACCTAGGAATGCAGGCTGCCTATATTTAGGTGCCTAAACTGGATTTTGCAGTGTAATTTTATGTACCCAGGTTTGCAAGGTTTGACCATGATTCTTATTTTCTGAGAAGATTCAGGCATAGAAAATTACCTTTGGAACTAACAGAAACAGTCCCTCCTAGTATCGCCATGGAATATACTTTTGGAAGATGCTAACAGTGGCATATACAAAGACATAAAGGAAAAGAGAAACAAGATGCTAATGATGATTTTGAGAAGCAAGTAGGTATGAAACCAACATGAATAATTAACCTGGTTTTGGTTTTCAATATCATATAGATTAATTGCTCCGCAATACAAAACACAAAGGAGACAGGGGAAGAAATTTTGAAGCAGAACCATGTGTTTTAATGAATTGTCAATATGCGTACAAGAAATGTCAGGTCTTGCATACCTTTCCCAAAAGCTTTCCTCTGGGGTAGTGGCTCTCAACAGTTTCTACAACATCAACTCCATGTTACAATAAAAGAAATTCAGCACCCTCTCCCATCTAGTGACTAAAAAATTAACATTTCTCATCCTCCCATGGCCCTGCACACTAACCCCTGGTGAAGAATCCATATTCTGTAGTATTGACTTAGAAATATAACCAATGGTCTGACGAGAGATGTTTTCCTGAATCAAGGCCCATGTGAATTGGGATCTTCGGAGAGGAGTTAGTTAGCTATGTTAATGTGAGGCCAGGCAGAAGGCAGGAACAGTTTTTCAGAAAACAAGTTTGTAAATGGTGTTTTAAAATCTGGACGTGTCATTGTGTGAAGTCATTTACACTAAGGTGGAAGGGAGGGTTTGACTCTGTTAGTGCACAGGACTGGGTGTTCATACATAGATCTGGAATACATCTGTGGTTTCACCACTGAATTGCTGTGTTTGTGTTTAGGGAATTCACTTAAAGGGACTTGTTACACTTTATGCTGCAAGCTGCACAAATGTTAATCAGCTTAGTGCTAGCTTGCAGTCATACCTTCAACCTGAGTGGCATATCTGTGGGTTGTGGCCACACCTTAATGGAACAGATGCTGCGTTACGTGAATCGAGATAATCCTGCCCTGGAGTGGCATAACTTCAAGCGGCATAACGTGCTATAAGCCACTTAAAGGTGTTAATGTGCAGAGAAACCAGAGGTTAAGAGCTCCAGGAGCTGCCCAAAATTAACATGAAACAAGGCCTTTAGTCTTACCAGGCTCCTCTAGACATGCAGCAAGGCTGCTCCAACATGCTGTAAATCCAGTGCATTAGACCAGATTTGATTAATTGTGTCTGCTGGAGCAGGGAAATTAATGTGCTCCAGCAGCCTCCAGTGTCATGTGTATCAGCATTCCCGTGCTAAAAAATGGTGGGAGGGGGACAGACTTGCAACTAAAGATTGTTCTATGAGTTAGTTCAAAGCTCCCTGCTGCCATTTTTTCCATGTGCAGATGCTGGTACACGTGATGCTCAGGCACTTTTAAATTAGTGTGGGTCACTAATTAAAGCACCCCCCACCTCCCAGAGCACATCTATAAATGCCTACTGTGTCCTTATTTCAAAATGGGGATACTGCTTGCTAAGCTACAGTGGTAGGGTATGTCCCATTGGAAGTGGAGTTAAGCTTCCACCTCTGCAAATAGCATTTTTTCCTGTCTATGTTAGAGACGGCACTTGTGCCAATGACTCAGCCTTGAGGGCTGTAATCAGAAGAAAACCTTAGTCTAAAATGAAATATATATTCCAAAACCTGATTTCAGAGGGATTCTTTTCATGCAAGAGCTGATGATAACAGAAACATGTGAAACAAGCTGTATAAAGTTCTGGACTCTGCTTTAGGTGTTAGAGATGTTCCCTCCCCACGATATAAGACTCAGGACTGTGTTGATAAGTGAAAAAACTGTTTTTCAAATATTCTGTTTTAAAATGTAAATGTATTTGCAACCCTTAAGTTCAAATACATGTATGCCTACAAATTGGAATTGTATACTTCTAAAAGATACTTCCCCCAGGAAAATTTAAAAACTTGTCCCCCACAAAATATTTATATGTTACACAAAGGAAGATCTATAAGGGTAACTAATGTGGAGAGAATGTTGCCCTTAAATACTATTCCTGTCTGTAAGCCTTAGACACTTTTCATGCATCTCTTGCATTGGGGCTTTGGGAATATCATTCTTTCTAGGACAGCATTTTTTTTAGTCTGTGTTTTTTTTTTGATTGAGATTGTCCTTGGACTCAGGGACAGTCCTTGACTGTCCTTCTATTGCAACCTTTTTTCGAGGTTAAATCAATAGTTCTCAACCTTTTTAGACTCAAGGCACCCTTCAGAAAATGCTAGCTCTTAGCTTTCACTTGTTTTTTGACTACACAAAATAATACAGCAATTCGTCTGTTGTAACCAATTCAGAAAGAAGACAACAGGGCAGAATGTTGTTAACATAAACTCAGAGATTGCAAATAGGAATCTATCTTGTGAATCATGTTAGTATACCTAACAGTGCTAACATTGCCTGGCACCCCACAGTCCCCTTGAAAGGCTCTTAAAGCACCCTAGGGTGCCACAGCACCCTAGTTGAGAGTCACTATGTAGCAAGGCACTAAGATGTGCCTGCTCCTTTAAAGCTGAAGTAGCCTGTCCAGGGAGCTCTGCAGGCTAAGCAGAGCTCCCCAGCTGTGGGTTAACAGGGTAACAACCTAAGCGGGTAATTGAGCAGCACCTACAGACATCACATGGCTGGAAGGAGGCAGGGTTTCAGAACATAAGCCCAGTCTATAGCTAACAGGCACACACTCTCTCTCTGGCAACTGCTAGGGAAGGAGCTCCTGCATGAGGAAGCTACCTGAGATCTGGTGCTGCCTGTTTTACTACCCAAGTGCTGCAAGACTCCAGGGAGTCTCCCAGGTACCTAGACTAGGGGTACATTGCCTGAGGGTGGAAGTTTGTCCCCTTAAAAGGGATTATTGATGTTGCTAGTGTTTCAGTTGTAGCCCAGGGGTTTATGTTTTTGTTATGGTTTACACCGGAGGACTGGGATGAGGCTATAAGGGGAGGTTTGGAGACCTCATTAGTGCCTGGGGAAAGGGGCACATGATTTAGGTAGAATCTAGTGTCAGGCATAGAGAGATGCCTGAGGGGCACAGGGAGAGCGCCTGAGAGAGAGGCGCGGAGCCAGGCACCCAAGCCAGACGTTGGAGAGAGGCGTGGAGAGTCGGACACCAGGGACAGTTGCACAGCCGGATGCCAGTGAGAGAGACGCAGAAAGCCAGGAACAGGAGAAATTGGTGTCTGAGTGAGTGGTACAGGGACAGGGGAGCCAGAGGGCTTGGCACCAAGGGGGCGCATAGAGTTGATAACAATAATAACACCTGTGAAGCTTGGGACACGATGAGGGGAGGTTGGAGTTGTGTATTATGCCCTTGGTATTAGGGCATGAAAGGGACAGTCTCCCACCTAGAAACAACTTATTAATTACATCAAAAGGCGTGGTGGGCAAGATAGGTGGGTAGACTGTCCTGAACAGGTGGGCAGGCTGACATAGTAATCGGCCTTGGGACGACCCTCTGTCACACACTGGTTTAAACTTTGTTAAATCCCTTGGAAATTATTTCTAT